AATATCAATTAAGGTTATAATTAGGTTACATCTAGCGGATTCATTGAACCCAGAAACCGTAAAACCACTGAGCCATCGGTGATTCAATCGATCTCGTTGAAATCCATCGGTAGTTTCTCGATAACATCGATGAGCTCATCGCTGAGTTAATAAATTAATAGTCTTTAACAATTATGCACTTAAATCATGTTAAGATAACCAAATCTGTACATGTTTATGTTAACTTGGTTTTATTTTTATTTTAATCCCCAAGAACTTTTTATTATTTTTTCTTTAGTTTTATTGTTTAAGAGAATTCAACTTTTTCGAAAACATTTACAACATTCTCACCAAGTAATATAATTGAACACATTTTTAATCTAAAATTGGAGATAGGTATTTACCTAAAAGGAATAAATGCTTTGAAGATAACCAAATCTGTACATATTTATTTCAACGAAGTTGTAATTTTATTTCATTTCTCAAGAAATAACAGGCTTCAATACGCAACGTGAGCTTAATATCATACGGACTCCGACAATATTATGTACATATGCATATACGGTTTTCATAAATGCTGTCGTTGTTATTATTTAATATTTAATTGTACAGAATAAGGCGATATAAAAATTAAAATTTGTCTATATAAGAGTATTTAAACAAATAAAAATACCCACAATGGAATGTAAATAAATATAGCGTCTATGATTTTTACTTTCACTTCTCCTTTTCTAAAATACTTATTTCTGCTAAGAGGGTGGTAAGTGAAAGACGTGTGATGCGCTCAACAGATTTTTTAAAAACATTTACAATATTCTCACCAAGTAATATAATTTATACAAAAGATGCGAATTTGTGTAACTGTTTTTATTTCAGGAATATAAGAGAAAAAAAAAGTTAAGGAAGGAGATGGTCCGGGGTGGCGGTCATAAATAGACTAAATAGTGGCAAAATTATTTTATTAAAAGCCAACGTTTCGACCCGACTTTGCAAGTCTTCTTCAGGGAGGTGTGTTCAGCAAGGAGTTCAGCCAAGTCCGGTCGAAACGTTGACTTTTAATAAAATAGTTTTGACACTATTTAGTCCATTTATGACCACCACCACGGACCATATCCTTGCTAAATAATATAACGGTCAACTATCAAGTATTCAAAAAATAAAGTTGTTTCTGCAAGAGTATATTAGAAAGTTAAACCAGTTAAATAATCAAAATAATGTCAAATAGACGATAATATTTATATTTTTTAAAGTTGTTTACCAATAACAATAACCGTTTTTTTCATTGAGACTAACGGTGTCCAAGGAACTGAGTTCTTTGTTTTGAATATCATCTTTGTTATGTAACTCCCTCTTAAACATTTGCAAAAACTTGAAACACTGACTCAGTCTAAAAATAATTCTATGGGAAACAGTAAGAACAGTTGAAGTTCAATACTTTTATACTGAATTATATTAAAATATTCATAATCGATTGACACATCATTAACATTCGTTTTATGTAAGGTCGATGAACTTCCATAAATCCCAAACAATATTTTAAATAAATATATACTTTATTATATTAATATGAAACAGCAAAAACTTAAAAAGAAACATAAATTATTCGTTAGGAAATAATTGGAAGATACACACATTGGAAGATATAGAACTGGCCCTAAATTAAACGTATTTTAATTATTATTTTTGTCTATATATTGTATACAGGTATGATTGTGTTTTTAATTTACTTATCTTTAGGTATTTTATTTTTATTATTATTTAGTTATTAGTTATTATTTTACTTTTATTAATTTTATGTTTTCTGTAAATATGATGTGAATATATTAATATATAACTATAATTATTTCCCAAGTGAGAAATAATTATATTTCTAAATAAAAAAAAAAAAATATTATTTTAAAACACAATTTTTAACTGTTAAAATGCTAAGTATTTTGTGTTTTAAAAATACATTCCATTTTAATTATTATTTTAAACTACCAAGTATTTTTTGTTTTTAAAATACGGTGTATTTTACTTATTATTTTAAAATACCAAGTATTTTGTGTTTTTTAAAATACCATGATTATAATTATGAAGTATTTAAATTGTTTTCAGAAAAAGTATTTTAAATGCAAAATATTTCCTAGCTAACGATAAGCCTATTTATTATGCAGGAAACCTACTCTGTTTGGTAGTTTATTTTAAGTATAAAATTAAATACTTTGTTTGTAGTTTAGTATCTTGGAAATGAAATACATTTTTTTTGTCCTTTATTCCTTAAAAAGACGATGCAGTTACAATCTATTTAATATTTTTTTTTAACTTCAGTTTTGATACAGACTAAGGTCATTAACATTCCAATGAACGTCAAAACAAGGATATATAGGTTAGAAACAATTAACTACTCAAAATTTTCTAACTTAATTGATTAACTTATTATTTTTACATCACAATCCATATTTAGCTATTTTTTAGTTAGGGAGTATCAATTTTTTTTTTGTGATAGTCTTCTCTTACAAGAAATAAATGAGAAAATAATTTAAAATTCGCAACTGGAATGAAATATGTTATATCATTTTTTTTTTCAAACCTAATGCAAGTAATTTTAATTCAGATATAGGTGTGACGTCTATGCATTATATAAAGGATTTATATTCAAACAACAAACAATGACAACTAATCATAATAGATGATCACAATAGGCAGAGCAAAACGAGTTTGAAAAAACTTAACAAGAGAAGTGACAAAGGAGGCCTTGAAAGAAACTTATAATAATAAAATCTATTGTATAAAATATAATTTTTATATTAGAAAAAAAAAACACGAAAAATATTTATCTGTGAATATTTAACAGATGAAGTAGGATCAATGTTTTCTTTGTTAATTCCTTATTTTTTGTTTATCTTTATAATAAATAAACAAGTTATGTATTATCTAACTTAATGAATTCATTAGCTGTAGTCAGAAATAATAACATATTTGTCCATTTAATAACTTTCTGACGTTTCCAAAAATAGAAACATAAACAAAGAAATTAAGAGTAAAAACCTTGAAGAGAGAAGATGGAATTTGTATGTGTTTATCCAGGCACATTCCTGTATTTTTTTTTTTTAGTTAAAATTTAATCTATTATGAATTCCAACTGACTACGTAATAGGTATATAACATGCATATATATATATATATATATATATATATATATATATATAATATATATATATATATATATATATATATATATATATATATATATATATATATATTCAAATTAATTTTTAAAAGTTGAGTGTGAGTCGTTGATTCAGGAATGTATTATCTGTTAATTATTGATTGATATTATCGGTTAATATATTTAAAAAAATAAAATTAATTGCATATAGGTATGTATGTGTTCTTTTTACTTATTTATTTTTAGGTTATTTTATTATTATTTGTTGTATATATATTATTTTTCTGTATAATTTATTTATTTATTGTACATAAAGTGTGAATGTGATCTCTGAACACTATTATAAATGTCCTTGAGACAGATTGTAATATTTTTCAATAAATAAGGTAAAAAAAAATATTAAAAAATAATAAAAGTAATACAAATTTTCTATTCAGATATTTCAAATGATAATATTACAGATTATTTGAATAATTTTAATGATGTTTTAACATTTCGTTAAATTAATTATTATTCAGTTTTAAAGAAAACCAATGCTTATGATATTATGTTTTCCATTTATAACTTTATAGCTTTTTTTTCATTTATTATTATGTTATAATTTTATTTATGTTTTCTGTAAACAAATGAATGAACTATAATCTCTCACTATTATCAATGTACTTAATTGTCACAGCTTCTTATATTACTCAATAAAAAAAAAATATTTTCATGTTCACTTTAACGTTTTAAAAATTTAATACATCGTCAGTTTATGGTAAAAAGTCATTAAGTATAAAAAAAAAATAATAAATGCAGAAGAAACGCACAATGTTCTGATTCATAGAGAGAATATTTATCTAGGTATTTATTGCTTCAATTTTACGAAATGATATTTAATGACTTTTTTTTTAATAAACCACGATGTATAATTGATTGCTAAATGTTATTTAAAAAAATATATATATTATATAATAATAGTGGAATTCATCTGTTTGGCTGATATGATGATAGTATTAAATATTAACCGAATTGTCTTATTTAAAAAAATGTATTTTTAAAAAATATATTATTGATGATATTTTTGGATGTTATTAATTATAAAAACATAATAATAATATCAATGAATTAAATTATTTTTCTAAAATAATAAATAAATAAACCAGAAGAAGTGCACAATGTTCTGATTCATAGAGAGAATATTTATCTAGGTATTTAGTGCTTCAATTTAATGAAATTATATTTAATGACTTTCTTAATAAACCACGATGTATAATTGATTGCTAAATGTTATTTAAAAAAATATATATATTATATAATAATAGTGGAATTCATCTGTTTGGTTGATATGACGATAGTATTAAATATTAACCGAAAAAAAAAAAATACAAAAGTGATAGAAAATTTATGTTCGGCTTATTCAATGATAATCATATTAAGTGAACTTATCTGAATTACCTTATTTCTAAAAAAAATAATAATAATTTTAATTAATACTAAAGTGCTTTTATATACTTAGTTTCTAGCCGACTATCAAAACAAATAATATTAATATCAAAAGTAAAACACCAGTTAAGATAATATAAATTGTATGACAAAGAAAAAAGAAAACAAAAATATAAATTAATTAAACAAAGTACTGTAGGAGTTAAGGCTAGTAAAAAAAACAAACAATAATTACGTTTGAAAAGTGTTTAACATCGTACAATACCAAAACAAAGAAATGACGTGTGAAAGGTTAGGACAAAGCGAATGGTTTTAAATCACGCGAATTTACTTGGCTACTTTTGGAGATAATAACGATATAGAAAGAGGGTCTATTTTTAAACTATTGTGCGCAATACGAGGAGATAAGAGATAGATAAGGAGGCTGTTGCTATGGGTTACTCACCTCACAGCTGATGCGGGCGACCTCGAACAGCGCTCGGAGCTGACTGAGCCACAGGTGGTCTCAGCTCCCACTGCCTCCTCATTGCGCAACTCCGGCTATATCTCGCCGCCAATATTTAAATTTATTTACTGCTTCTCTTCGCTCTTATAATATAATTAAGCGTTAGTTTATCTGTCGGTTAAACGGATGATTAATGTTAAGTAATAACACTTATAAGTAAGAGCGGTTATTTCAATCAGTGTAGATTAACTTAATATAGGCTGTGATCATAATTGTCACTCATACAGTGTTTCTTTATTGTTGGTTTACCGACTAATATTCACATATATATTTATCTCTCAGATTATCAGAAAATCCATAACTGCCCTTAAACAACTCCTAAGATTCCGTGATTGTATTCCTCTAAAAACCAGACAGCTCCTTGTAACCTCCCTTCTATTCCCCCACTTCGACTACAGCTGCTTGTTGTATGGAGGGCTATCTGCCAGGCTGGAATTGAGACTAAAAAGACTCATGAATTGTTTCATAAGATTCATTTTCGGGATCCCCAGACGTTCACATGTTTCACTATGGTACACCGAGTTGAAGTGGCTTTATCCTACTTCCCGACGACGTTTTCCGTTGGCGTTTCCTTTTTCAAGTCTTCAGAACTAAAAACCCTCCCATAAAACTTCCTCCTTCAGCAAATCCTTCGTCATTCGTGCTGCTTCCTTATGGAACTCACTTCCTACCCCCATGCGTCAATCCTCATCCACAAATTCCTTCAAACAACTCCTGTTCCAACACCTACTCCACATTTAAACTTCCACTAACATGTAAAATTACTTGCATCTATACAATGTTTAATTTCAATCCATTGCACAATTGAAATAAGAATTAACAATAAATTAGTTGATATTTTTATTATGTCAGACTAAGATTCATAAATTTGTAACTCTGTTATTATTCTTAGGGGACAGTGGTCCCAGAATAAAATTATTTTTTCATTTCATTTCATACACATTTCATAAATATATATGAGCATTGTAAACAATTTTTGCTTCCTCACCACCGAATTTAGAGAAGCATTGTATTCGTGCGAGAGGGTGAAAAAAATTTTGTGCTCAGAATCGAAAATTTCCACTCGCGTTTGATGTTTCAGACATCAAGGATTAAATTTGGTTCGGCTTCTGCCTGTAGTCAAATCGATGTGACGAGCATATCACCGATTCGAATTTCATGAAATTGTGCAGATTGGTATCTAGATGATCTCATATAAATTTTATCAAATTCCGTCCTCTACTTCCACTTGCACACGCGTAAATGTATTTTCATACTTTTGCATCTTGGAATTCTGGCAATGGCCAGATTCTTCACTCAAGACATGAGTGCATGTGGCTAAAGCGCTCTCGCTCAAACTCGACTGGCTTTAGCACCAGTGAAGTGTTTGAGAGAGTAGCTCAGGGATCTCTTGGAGTCCTGCTTTTCCTTCCATAGTTGGAGGGAGAAGCCTGGCTTGGGGTTCCCTGCCTGATTGTATATATTGTATATAGATATGGCTGTGTTTTTATGTTTTTAATTTACTTATCTTTAGGTTATTTTATTTTTTATTGTACATAGTTATTATTTATGTAGCCTATTATTTAGTTATTATTTTACTTTTGTTAATTTCATATTTCCTGTATATATGGTGTGAATGTGTTCATATATCACTATAATTATTATACACGTGACAGATTATTATATTTCTAAATAAACAAAAAAAAAAAAAAAAAACCGATATGCCAATATTTCAGAAACGGCTCATTCGATTTGGCTCAAAGTTGAAAGAAATGTGGGTTTTGGTAAATCAATGAATCTATACAGATTTTATTGAATTCCATCATCTACTTTCTCATATATATGCGTAAACGTTTTTTCCCTGATACGTCTATATCTCTAAAACTGTTTGTTCAATTCGATCAAAATTTGGAGGCAAGTTAGGGATTAGTTAACAGATAATCAAGCAAATATCAATTTTATCAAATTCTCTAAAAAAAAAAAAGACTTTCGCTTTCAGAGCAATAAACATATTATTTGGCACCTCTATAGTTTGAATACGGCTTGTTCAATTTGACCCAAACTTGGAGGAAATGAAGAGAATAATTCAGAAATTGTCTAGTATCAATTTCATTCAATAATTAAAATTAATATGAATAACTGTTAACAATATTATGGCTGTGAAATGTGGAAGGCACTGATTATATTTAGGGATAATTAGGTTAAGACAATATTTTTACATGGTTATAAAATTTTAGGTTTTATGTAAAAAGTTGATTTTTACTATATTGTTTAGTCGATTCTAAACGTTACTGGTATGACACTTACTGCCGTTACTTAGATACGTGTAATTTTAAGTAAATTTAAATTAATTTTTACTCTGAGTTTGGTCTCAATTTCCTGCTTAAATGCCAAAACTGTCTGAACTTTATTCATATTTTTATATTCCAGCTTAATATAAACTGCGAACAAACAAGAAGTTGAATTTTTCCTATCGATGTTTTGTCCCATCCATTTTACGAGTGAAAGCATACCTATTAAGTATACATTACTACTGTTAGTACAAAAGGTCGTATATAAAAACTTTCAACTTTTATTTTTTTTGTATTAATGGTGACATTTTGTAGCCTGCAACTAATATAAGTAGTCTGCTATTATGGAAAATAACAGAGAGCAATAAAATATGAAATTATACTAATAAATCATAAAGAACCAATTAGTTTTTATGCTCTCCTGCAAAACATTAAATTTTTACATAAGATTTTTTGCACTAATATTGGTGATATTCTTGTTCAGTATACACTGGAATTTTTATATTTAATCAGGAATCATCAAGTATACAAACTACATTGTACGTCTAGAAACTGGCCGAAACGCCTTGAGTGTCAGGGTTATGAGAAGGATCATAAATTACTGGTCTAAATTGTCGCTTATGCCTGAAGAGAGGTTACCAAGGCTTTGCTTCAACAAATTAATTTTTCTGGATACAAGGAATCCTGATATAAACTTACAAGTCAGATCAATAGCTGCTCATTATGTCTGTAAAGAAGAGTTCGATAAAGTATACCCAACTGGATTATTAAAATACAGCGATGAAATATTGGAAAAGCTAAAAAACCATAACTTATCTAAGGACATCCATTTATCGATAAATTCCAACAACAATCCCATATATAGAACTATTTCCAACTTCAATATTTCCAGCCCAGAGTCCTATTTGATGTATAGAGATAACATGAAAAAGCTAAGATCAATAAGCCAGTTAAGGCTTTCAAATCCCGAATTAATTAGGCTCTATACGAAAAACAAAAGTTTCTACTTCAAAGCCCAGGAAACCTTCACTTTCTGTAACAAATTCATTTCTAACAGTCTGTTCCATATCCTTCTGTACTGTAAAAAGCTAACAGACAACAGACACAAACATTTACGAGCATTTCTCTCTACGTCAAGTGATGTAAACAAGATTCAAGACATACTTCGAATCGATAACATAGAGAAACTTAATAAGGTTTACTGGTTCATAATGTCAGCGTGCAATTCACTGGATTCCTTAAGCTCTGATGTTCCACACACCAACCAAGTGCTATGACTAAGGATAATTGTTGGTCAGTTCAATTAATTGTTTGTTTCTTTTTTTCTTTTTTCTTTTTTGGTTTTATTGGTAATGTAGATAGAAATTAATTGGAATATAATAAAGTATTATTGTTTTTATAATAAGTTAATGTACAGTTAGGATAAACTAGACTCATGTAGGTGAAATAAAGTTATTCATATATGTATCATTTGTACAAGATTGTAAAATAATCTTTAACAAATAAATTCAATTCTATTCTATTCATCAAGTATACAATCTGTAAATACTGAACTCTTTCGCATTTTAGTATTCGTTGATGAATGAAACTCGTGAATATAAGACCTGTATGTGTTAATGGATTACCGAATTTCCGAAAACGACTTCTTAAAGAGATTTTATTCTCAATTACGAAAAATTATAGATATTGTAATATAGATATTTTTTTGACAAAAGAAAACGGCGAGGAAGCTACACTGACCTATTTCCCTTTCTTTCCCTTCTCTCACCTTATACATTTCTCATATTTTGCCCTCTCTCTTCCTAACGTAATTCATGTTTTCTGATGACAAATTATACAAGGAAAAAAAAAGTGCACAAACAATTAAAAAACAACGAAATAAAATTGATATATACAAATACTGCAGATTTGTTCAATAAATATTATAAAAATTCAATTTTCTGATATCATGATATCTGCTTGTGTCGAAATTTCGGAACACTTGATAAATTACCACATATCCTGAAAACTTTTCACCCAAATAAAATTATCATTCTATTTAGAGTGTCTAGTGAATTTTAAACTTATTGCTAGGATGTAAAGGTAAATAAATTGAATCAAGAAGATATATTCTAATGAGGTCGAGCTATTATGAGGTAAAGAAACTGCTGCGCTAAATTAATCATAGATAGAGTTGACGTGTGCTACTTTTGCTGAAATATTCCAAAAAACGTTGGAAATCGTAAATGGATCACCAGTGTCTAATTTAACTATAAGTTCAGACTTATCGTTAGTCAGATGTTTGTAATAAAGGAGGTATAATATAACATTGATAATATAATAATACTAGTTGGCCTGTGCGATTAATTCGCAGAAAATTTTGTTTAGTGAAGGAATAGCAAAGCCATATGAAAATAAATAGATTCTAAGTATAATGTGAGGGAAGAATTAATTGTTTGATCGATTGTCGATTTGTATAAATTGCTGTGCTAGAATCTATTTTCAAACGCTGACTGAAAAGGTAACATTTAAAATAAATCCTCGATTATGGGATTTTTAAATTATTAAAAAAAAATAAAATGTAAGAACAAACAAATGCCTTTAAGAATAATAAAGTTAAAATATCAGCATGGGAAAAAAGTGTAGTAGAATAATAAATGCAATATATTTAAAAAGTAAGAAATTATTAAGTATACCAAAACTAATGGACTGTATCTTTGTTAATAATTGTTTAATTTTTACAATTTTTTGTTTGTTTTGTAGCTAATTTAGTAATCGTTCTAATTATCATGGGTACAATAAAGAAAAAAGCATATTTTTTTAGTTGTTCGCGAATAAATTTTTTTTTCCTTCATATATATTTTTTTCCTAAAATTTCGGGATGATAGGACTATTTTTCGTGAAGGAGAAGAATATCTTCAAAGTGAGTGGTCAACCATTTGATT